AAAATAGTTTCAGAAATGTCACTGGTAAAGAGCAAAATTCTACAAAGCAGTAAGGATATGTTTTACTGAGACTTCTTGAACATCCCAAAACAGGACCACAACATTATTGATATCAAGTTTATCTAAATTCATCATGTGCACATTTTTAAATAACATAATCATGCATGCATACATGTGTACTGTTAACATTTAATTCTAGCTTAACAGCTGCAATGTCTAGCATGGAACGATTCCTGACATATTTTGTCTGAAACTGGCCTGAGCACTTTTTAACGTAAATTTATTACTTTAACAAACTTAAAAATGCCCAGTCCATTAGCTACTGAAAAGTCTCTTATAGATACCTTAGACTGAGTCTAGTTTTACGCCTTGAAGGATCTAACACAGAACATATAGCATATACATACTGTAAAAAATATTTTTGGGAGTCCTTTGAGAAATGTCCATAATATTCCTTGATTGAGTACTGAACAGCTGGCTAAAATTTTAGGTGTTTTGTTTTAATTTTTTTCAATTATGTGCTAAAGTAAAACAGCAGAAGGAAAATTATCCATGAAATTTCCTATGTGGCAAATTACTGTCGGAAATTTGCATTGAGGGTGTCTTGCTTGGTTCTTTATTAATATCATGTGAGAAACATTTTCCTGACCATGTGACTCATAACTTTGAACTTGCAATGAAAGTTCTTCACATTATGTTCAGGAACAAGGTATGTCACCAAAATAATGTATCAATTTCTTAGATAAACATTCATGCTGTGCGAATTACATGTATAAATGTATCTTGATGAAAGATAACTATTACTATTGGACAACCTGAAAAACGTGACCAGACATGATTGAGATGTAAATTTAAACAAGGGATGTTTAATCCTTTCAATAAAATAGCAGTCTGAGTCAATTTTAGAAAAAAAATTCCCAAACCTTTTTGTAAAATCCTTTCAAAAGAAACAGTCCCAAATAGGTTTTTTCAATGGTGACATCATAGGATTTCATGTGTTCATAAATCCAATGGTGAATCTTTCAGGTGGCTGAACACAGTTTTGGCAGTTTGTGAGTATATGTCATTTGCGAAATGATGGTAAGAGAAAGGTTGCAGCTCATGAGCTGAAACTTGGCAAGTGAAAAATATACTGACGAAAGATCTTGACTGACAGATAAAATTTGACGTTTTCGTAGTTTCCATGGCAACATGAACGATTGAATACAACCTTAAAATTTCACTTTTGCTCAGTTTACATAAAATTTGCTCAAATAGATTTTCCTACAAACTTGCACACAGCTTACTTTTAATAATTAATCATTACCATTTGAAACTTATTTGACCAAATTTTAACAGTCTGGTTGTTAGATAATCAGTAATATAATTGCACTGTAATTATTAAATTGTCTGTTCAACTTCCATTTTTAAAGTTCTCATTATTTAGAATACGACAAAAGTAAAAATTCTGCCAAATATCACAAAATTTTAATGAGTAGATTTTAAGAAATTGTCTTCTATGTACCATTGCTTTTGTTTGTTTGTCATGTTTGTTTGTCTAAGTTAAAACACATGCCGTCACGCGAGTTACCACAAGATTCTCAGGAAACAAAACATACCTCTAGGTGATAAAGCTAACTTGAGCTTCAAAGGAGCCTTGGAAAAGTTCTTGGATGTCTTGGCTGTTATAGGCTTGCCGATATTGTCTAACACAGGTGACATGGTTTGCGCCCTTATTAGTGATGAATATTTATTTACTGGACTGCGCAAAGGATGTGGTTTTTGTGGCCTGTAAAAAAAGGAAGAATGTGTAAGAATGTGTAAAATAAGTGAATGATCTTTTTTACCATTTCTTTCTTTTGTCCATTGGGCAAGTTAAGAACAGAATTCACTAACACAATGGCCAAATTCACCAGCCCTTAAGGCTACCCAACATGCCTTTCTTTGCACACTGTGTTTTAAGGGGTCCCTAATCTGATAATTTTCAAAAAGTGCTGCAAAAGTTACAAAAGTATGTTGTTTGGTTTCACATTTAATACAAAAACATTTTGGCCAACAGTTCTGCCTCAGTTTGTCTATTATTTCCCAAATACACATCCCCTTTACAATAGGAGACAACAAATCCCCTCCCCCCTAACCAAAGGCAAAAACTGTCCCCCTCCCCGCAGACAATGTTGTTCTTCATTGAACAAAATTTGGTTAGTTCTGCAGGCATTGCAAAATTAGCGACGTACGTATGCAGGTGCAGTTTTTGCACTGAGGCCTTTAATTAATATTGCTTTGTTTTCAGGACTCCTGCCTAAACACATTTAGTAACACAACACAGAATAGAAAGGAAAAATAATCAGTAACATCATCTAGAATAAATTACATTACAAAAAAAGCATACATGACAAATAATGGGAATTAGTTAATGCTATTGTCTCTGGTAAAGTAATTAGCCATTAAGGCGCTAATTAGTTTACCAAAAAAAACAGGAAAAACAAACAAAAATCCTGTCAGTAACATTATGGTAGCCATTTCAGGGTGCAAAGAAAATCATTTTTACAGCTTGCCATTCAGGCAAGCTGAAGCTAGCATTTACTAGCCCCAGAAGCTTTTTGACGAGCAGAATTGATTTCACAGTTCTTCTACTATTCGAATTCCTCAAAAAGCATCACTTGCGGGTCGAGCAAGTTAAAAACAGAAGTCACTGGCCCAATAGCAAAATCCACTAGCCCCGGGCTATCGGACACTACTTTCTTTGCACGCTACATTTGAGCAGTGACACTGCAGAAAGTAACCCTTCTTCAACTCATCACACACTTTCCAAGATTAACCCTTTGATTGCACACCAACTGTTGAAATGATAGGGGTTTGGGGAGGACTGCAAGTCTGAAGTGTGGCTCACTTAGGGGAAGGGGTAGGGTAGGGGTATGAATGTCCCTTATCTGCATTTCAAAATCTGTTGTTTTACACTTTGAGAAGAAAGCTATTTCTCTGTTGGTATTTGACTATTGTACTTGTCCCAGTCTTTGTAACTGTTGCAATTTCAACCCAAGGGCCATATTGCTTGTCAGATTTTCACCTCAACAGGGTCTCAGAAGTGAAAATGCTGAATGATTTGTCAATAAAAAAAAAAATTTTTTTGAGGTGCAGCCATTAACAGCAGCAAAAGTTTGCTTGGAGTGACCATGGTGAGCTACTTGATGATCAGTTGACAGAAACTATGCAGAAAAATTCATTTGCATGCTGTTAACCCACAACAAAGACCTCCCTGTCTTGTCAAGACTGTTCCACAAAATTCTGTACAAAACACTTAAAATATAGAAAGGAAAATTCTAAGCAGTATTATCTTATATCATACTATTCACTTTACATTAGGGCAAAGACACTGCATCTGGGTGAAATATTTCTAAAGAAATATAGGAACCGTAAGATGCTTTTAACATGATATTAACATGTTCCTGCCAGGTAAATGATCTCACTAACTACATTTATACCTTACAGAAACATACATATTTGTTAACATCATGATGCCAACTTACGGTAACACTTCCTTAAGCAGACACAGCTTTGTATATTTCACATTACATAAACGATAATTATTTTCAGTTTTGATTATGTAAGCAAATACTAAAGGAAACACACTTACAATTTGAATTTCAGACGATTGTTAGGAGCACAATAAAAACAATCTGTTAAAATATTATTGTTGACACAGTAGAAACCCTATCTTTGGAAGACTGATCAGTAGCCTGGTGATAACTACGAACAAATATCAGAAGAGAATGTCCTTGAATCCAGCATCCTTTAAAATTGATGCAACAAATTTCATCACTATGGCAATGATAATTTTGTACCATTTTAACCTTTGAGGGGACATAACTGTACTATCAAAGCAGATTATCTCTTCATTTATAAAAATAGAAGAAAAATTCCTAGTTGCAAGTATTTTACATTCAAAAATTAGTCAACTGAAAATTTGTACTGTCATACATGCATATATATCTATCAATTTCAATTTTTTTTGTACCAGAATATTGAATATGGGTTACATTATTTAACTTTTTCTTTAAACATTATCAGAGAGTAGGAATGTAACAAAATATCATATAACTAACTACAATCACACACAATGTACAAGAATTTTTTGCGATTGCATTAATTTTTGTATTTTCCCAAGTACTTCAATCAAACTTCCATGTTATAATAATCAGCACTTTTAAGCTCTGTAAAAACCAATCACTATCAATAAATAGCCAGAATGCAAAATGGAAATTACCATTACACATTGGAACTATTAATTTGCAACAGAACTGATGAATTCATCATTATTTTTTTAAATGTAACTATTTACCAGTTTTTTTTAGAGATCTTAGAATATTTTTCAAAGAAATTTACAATCCAATGCTTATATACTTCTGGATTAATCTTTCATTTTAGACTTAATAAGATACCTAAACCATAGATATTGAAATCAACTTTTGAAATGACACATTAGAATTTTAAATTATATACATAGCAACCTGACAAAGATATTTTCATGAAATATGGAATTATTCATAGTAACTGAAAAAATTACAAGGAAGGTCTTTTATTACTCCAAGTGATATTTTAGGAACGGAAAGGATTTACAGCTCTGTTAAAAACAATTTTCACTTTGATTTTTACACTTTATGATATAAGCACCACAAGTAATCTTCCGAATGAATCCGTGGCTGAATGTACCAATTTTAATTTAGTTTATTGCTTATTAGAAGCTTAAATAAATAATTTGCTAGGTAGAAATTTGAAGCCTTTTAAAATTACAGTGATCACGGGACAAAATTGCTATTTATATTGCATGAGAAATGAAATCCCCAGACATAAAGAAATCGAAAACATAAAAGCATCTTTTCTCTTGTTGTATTAGGAAGTCATTAAAGTTTAATTGTTTTCCCATATTTACTAGGTCAGTGACACCTTTACCAAAGTTTCGAATATTCTCAAACATGAACCATATAGCAAAGGCGATGCATACCGAAGAGTGTACAGCCGGGAGTCATTTTATAAAAATCGCTATTTGGCAGCTGTTATTCTTTTCAAAATAAAATGAAGCTAATCACCCTGACAGCAAATGCCAATTTTACTTACGATCGCCTCTGGTCTCCTGAAAACTTGTCGTCGATTCCATTCTGTAAAGAACTATTTTCATCTTTATTTCTCCTGTATAGGGAGGGAACAATCTGAAGTTAAAACGGTTCCGTTTCCGTTAAAACCCGAGATAGGGAAATATTAAACCCAGGTCAAATTGCGGGTGAGCTTATCTTTAATATAACAAGAAATAAACATGATACTTACTTGTGCAACGCCGGATCTTCTCGTTGAACGGGCAGGTCGCAATCGACCTCCCCAGACGGGACAACGAATCCATCAGTCGTGCATGACTTTCGCCGTGATCCAACAGCTTCTTCCGTCTCCCCAATGGTTATGGTGTCCACAGACATACTCAATTTACAATCCAGCCATAAGTCGGAACCGCAAATCTTAACAACAGAGAGCTCGCGGTGCGAACCATTCACCGCTAAAGTACTTGAAGATACAAAATGTACAGTTGATCGATCGGAAGGCACTTAAATTTTGTCTAGCAGACATGCCGTTTACGAGTTAAGACACATCTCTTTGCGTTGGTCTCCGTTGTGTCAAGATTCCCAGAAGAAGAGGTGTTACAAAGAAAGATTTCTACATATGCAATAACGTTCAGAAGAATATCATTTAGAACAGTTGATATGAAGAAATTGACAAAGCAACACACTGCTATTTGACAGGCTTCGTTCAAGAGTCTTCCTCGATCTCACGTCAATAAAATAACTGGTGCCTTAATATGCAAAGTCAGAAGTGATTGATCCCATAAATCTATGTTTACCATGAGGACTCCGACGCAAAAGACGTCAAGGAAATCTTTATCGCCAATCCAACAACAGATTGCCCACAGTTTCACTCCGTCACAAACGAATTTATTTTTGAGATTGCGTCGACCATGTGGACTGGGGTGAGGAATAAAAATCGCGTCCAGTTTCCTTCACGCGAGAAAGGCGCGAAAAACCGGAATGGCCGGAAATCAAGACAATAGAGAGGCTGTTCACTAGAGAGCTGAGGAGGAGCTTAGAATTGACCCTCATTTCCGGTTTGCGACATCACTATTATCAGGATAATCTGACATATTCCTCTTTAGTTACATTTGGCGTCATAAGGTCACCAGATTATTTTTTTAAGATATTTTCCTTTTCATCATGACAGCCGTATTCTTGTTTGTAAACATTGTACCAAATGAAATGTACCAACCACTGAAACAAAAGAACCTGTTGTCTCAAGAACCAATTAAGTCCCAGTTGGCACATTAATATCACTAGGTGATGTAATGCAAAAGATTGCTATAACTGGCTACCACTACTGGTCTATATGCATCTCCACTCACTAGTAGTCTGCTACACAGCCGTCCTGTGTTGACATGCAATGCAATACTTCTCCTCTGAGTAGGAACATTGCGTGACAACAAAAAACGGCTTTGTAGCAGGGCACACTCACTTGTGGTACAAGAAGGATTTGTGATGACCGTTTAACTGTTTTTCTGTAATGAGAGAATACAGCTCTGGAAGGTTGGAGGGAGGGGTGGGGTGGAAATTTACATTTTCTGGGGTTCACATCTTGAGAGCATTTCTTTACACAGTTGATTTTCTCCTGACAGACACCTTTGCAACCAGCACTCAGTGTCCATCTCAGGAAGATGTCTGTCTTAAAGAGAGTCAGCTAAAAAGGAGTAAAGAAAGGCAGGGACCAACAGTTACTTTAGGTAAAACATGTTTGCGGCGTGTCCATCTTATTAAGGTGTCTGAGAAGAGAGTTGACTTTACAACATTTTTATTGAAGTAACATAAAATTTGCCCGAACTTCCCCTCCCCTCCCCCCACCCCCAAATGGATATTAGTTTTATACAAGGTTCACCAGAATGTAGCCCAGCAAATCGTATGATACAAATACCCGTCCAAATACATGTATGTGGCCTCTCAACAGTACCTTATTCGCGCAAGTGTTCCCCCAAATACAAGATCTTTTAGTTTTTGTTTTCCCCTTGGTTACTGCATAGTTAATATTAGTGACTTGTGAATGAATTTTAACATTTAAATATCATAAACCACTGGTAACCTTTTCCTAACTTGAAATAATATTATTACATATGATACCAAACCCACCATTTTCAAAACACAATGTCACCTTCATCCAACTTTCTTGCAAACTCTCACAGAAACGCATTCTATGGAGGTTAAAAATAAGCTGCTAGATTGCTTTTTTTTAACCTTTTAACAAATACAAGGGCTAGGCCTATATCTAAAAATATTGTGTTATGATGAAAAGGGATGATGCTAAAAAATATAACAAACTGTTCAAAAAATAACAAAATCCATCTAAACCATTTTCTCTAAAATTTATTGTGTTCTATGATGATAAAACATCAGACCGAGAAAACAACAGATGAGAATTGTATGCACAGTACTTCTGAAGACATTCTTGTTGGCAACGAACAAGTGCCAGAAAATTATACTGATAATTATCTATAAAAATATTTGAATGTATTCAAAGAGTCTTTTCTAGAATTTATATAAAATTCAATCCCCAAAGATAAAAAAATTATCATAATCTTGCTTTAAAAAAGTGTCAAAAATGTACTTAGTAAAAGAAGACAGTTTTTTTGGTAAAAGAGTATCCAAAAATGCTTCTAAAAGAATAGCACCATTCACTTTGATCTTCAGTGGTAACTGAAAGCTGATACCCTAACAAATAAACAGAAAACATATTATTATCAAGAGATAAAGACTTAAAAAAGTATTGTTATATTTCAGTCTTAAACATTGGGAATGTGAGCTTGAATGTGAATTCTTGGATTGGTTTCAAGGAGGGATGACAATTTGCGTTCTTAATCTTTGAGTTCTTAATCTAGAAAATAATAACAATATCGTAACAATATTGTTATTGTTACACAAAAGAAGAGAGAAATCAATACTTAACTTAAATCGAAAATTAAACACGTCTCACCCGTAACATAAGTTTGATTGCAATACTAGGATTCGCCAGTTAAATGAGTCACATGAGACTTGACAGCTTGTGACACCAACTTTGAAAAAAGCACAAATCGAAAGTATTCCGGTATTCAGGGTGTTTATTGTATCTCAATTTCAAGTATTATTAAAATCTTTAGGAACACATACACCTCTGGATTATGTTTGTACGATCTTCAGTTAAAGGACTGCCACCTTTCTGATTTTCACAAACAATAGTGGCAACATAATAATGAAAATTTGGAGCATTTCTTTTATTCAAGAATGAAATTTTTAGGTGCATCTCTAGCCATTCAGAACAACTACAACTTGCAAATTACCTGAACCTTCCCACTATTCACCTTCCTCTGCAGTCCATTCTGATCCCAGCAATTAACAGTGCACTACACTATTTTTCTCAAACGACAAAGATCCATCATTGGCTTTCAAATCGCAGAGGCATGGTTGTGATTTTTGCTTTTCTACAGTTTGGTAGGCTTTGAGGTCACATACTGTCAAGTCTCATGTGCCTTCCTTGTGACATAGACTGGGAATGAATGCCTTTTTTCTCGTGGGTGAAAGAGGTTTAGAGGTAACCAGTCGAGTTGCCCAAAAGTCATCTCCCCCGATGTTACGTCTCCCAAAACCAAAAATACCTATATGTCTGTGGCCTACATCTGTGCTATCAAACAGGGTTGCAGACTGTTAAAGATTGCCACTCTAGTCTAAAAGAGGGTATCCATATTCGCAACATTTTAACTGAAGTGGGATAATTGTATAATAGTCTCCCGGTATTGTGTCTGCAATGATCTGAATTTCAATAATTTTGAAAAATATTTTCAGCTTCTGTCCAAAATTTAACTCTTCACTTCACTTTAAAGACCTGGAAACAACAACTCCCTTCCCCCCCCCCCCCCCCCCCCCCCCCCCCCCCCCCAAAAAAAAAAATTTTTTTTTTTTTTTTTTTTTGGATAAAAAGGGGGTTTTTTTTCAAAAAAAAAAAGGAGGGGGCGTTTTTCTCCTGGGTTTTTTTTAAAAAATTTTTTTAAATTGGGTTGGTTATGGTGTGCTGGGGAGAGATTGTGCGATTGAAAGACACATATATGTATAACCGTCTCCCGTGTTTTTTTTGCCAAGTTCTGAAATTCCATAAATTTGAAAAAAATTTTCAACCTTTTGCCAAACATTAACCCCTCCCCGTCCTCTAAAAACCCTGAAAATAAAACTCCCTTCCCCCCCCCCCCAGCCCCCAACCCCACCACAAACAATAATATTTTGATTGTTCTAATCTATGGCTAATAAGGTGGATTCACTTGCAAAATACGCAAGGCTGTCGCATTTGCCGTCTGGATTTTTTTAAAAATGTCTTTGAAATGTGATGGCTATACGCGGCTACTGGCAAGTATGCTGCATGAATCGACCCAAATGAAATTATTAATTTAAATTCAATTAAAACCCGCTGATCTCTGAGTCATCTCTGATTATAATTAACAAAAATGAATAGTTAAGGGATTAAAATCAAGTTTTCAAAGATAAGACACAGATCTTCTTGCCTTTCGTCGGCCTAAATGTCCTAAATTGCAGTCATCTTCTTCAGTCATCTTCGTCGTCGTCATCCTCTGGAGAGAAAATGCTCCACTCCTCAAGAGCTTCGGCGATAAGCTTCCCTAATCGACCTCCAAAATAAATACAAGGGCCCATGACAAGCAATAACTTAGTGGTTCCTATCCTCGCAGTTGGCGGCTCTTGTTTTATTTTACTTGAAGAGATCGCAGAGCTCAAGCAAAGATGTGGATGGGAAGACGGACCATTATGGTTGCGCGTTCTCCAGACGGCTCGTCTTATGCAAATTGCGAACATTACTTGAGCAGCGGTCAACGTTTCTCAAAGACACGGAACTGTCCACGGAACTTCAATTTTCCAGTGACCTCCCCAAATGGTTTAAAAGATCTGACAAGGACGAA